CAATGGGGGGTGGGGGGTAGAGGGAGTAGGAAGAGAGAGAGAGAGAGGAGAGAGAGAGAGAGAGAGAGAGAGAGAGAGACTCGTAGCACGGAGGGAAATGATAAGTGGGTGAGTTTCTTTATCTGAGGTGGCGTGTTGTCGAGAAAATGAGAGCTCTTGAGGTGGGCCCCCAATCAATGTGGCACCAGAAGATGGGGAAATTGAATTACTTACCAACCCACCACCACATCTAGCTTTAGATATCCACACCTACATCAATACACACACCAAGGATGACATATCTATATACAGTGTGTGTGTTATAGTGTGTGGTATGTGTGTATAGTCCTATTTTTGAACTGTATGTAAGATGTGTTTGACACTGGTGAAATATATGCGTAGGATCTGTATTTTATGCATTTTAAGCATTTGATATTTATACAGGTGAAAGGTCAGGTCACTTGTTTTTGTTTTGTTTTTACCTTTTTATTGTTTTGAATTGGAATTATGGTGTTTTTTTACGGATGGTAGAAGAAACACACACACACACACACACACACACACACACAATAACACAGGTTAGGGGTAGGTTAGGTTAGGTAGGTTATGGTGAGGTGGGTGGTGGTGGTTAGGTAGGGAGGTTAGTTAAGGGTGGGAGGTGGTGGTGGGGGTAGGGGGGGTAGGGTATGGTGGGAGGGTGGTGGTGGTGGGTTGGGGGTAGGTAGGTTAGGGTATGGGAGGTGTGGGTTAGGTTAGGGTAGGTAGGTTGGGGTAGGTTAGGCAGGGTAGGGTAGGTAGGGTAGGTTAGGTTATGGTGGGAGGGTGGTGGTGGGGTAGGGGTAGGTTAGGTAGGTTAGGTTAGGTTAGGTTATGGGTGGGAGGGGTGGTGGTGGTGGGTTAGGGTAGGTTAGGTAGGTTAGGTTATGGTGGTGGTGGTGGTGGGGTGTAGGTTAGGGTGGAGGGTGGTGGTGAGGTCAGGGTAGGGTAGGATTGGGTTATGGTGGAGGTGGTGGTGGTGGTGGGTTAGTTAGAGTGGAGGTGGTGGTGGGTTAGGGGTTGGGGTTAGGGTAGGTTGGGTTTATGGTTTAGGGTGTGGTGGGTAGGAGTGGGTTGGGGTTATGGTGGAGGGTGGTGGTGGTGGTTTAGGGTGGGGTGGGTTAGGTTAGGTGGTGGAGGGTGGTGGTGGTGGTGGGTTGAGTTAGGTTGGGATGTGGTGGAGGTGGTGGTGGTGTTTGGGGGTTGGGGTGGTGGTGTGGGGTGGTGGGTAGGGTTGGGTTGGGTTATGGTGGTGGTGGTGGTTTGGGGTAGGTTAGGTTATGGTGGAGGTGGTGGTGGTGGGTTGAGAATAAGTGGTTGGGGTTATGGTGGAGGTGGTGGTGGTGGGTTGGGTGGTTATGGTGGAGATTGGTGGTGTTGGGTTAGGGTGGGGTGGGTTATGGTGGGGGTGGTGGTGGTGGGTTGGTGGGTAGGTTGTAGTGGAGGTTGGGGTGGTGGTGGGTTGGTGGAGGGTGGTGGTGGTGGTTTGGGGTGGGTTGGAGTTGGGGTGGAGGGTGGTGGTGGTGGGGTTGGGTTGGGGTGGAGGGTGGTGGGGTGGGTTGGGTTGGGTTGGGGTTGTGGGTGGAGGGTGGGTTAAAGTGGTTTAGTTATGGTGGAGGTGGTGGTGGTGGTGGTTAGAGTTAGGTTAGGTTATGGTGGAGGTGTGGTGGTGGTGGTGGGTTAGGTTGGGATTAGGTTATGGTGGAGGTGGTGGTGGTGGGGTTAGGTTAAGTTAGGTTATGGTGGAGGTGGTGGTGGTGGTGGTTGGTTGGTTAGGTTATGGTGGGGTGGTGGTGGTGTGGTCGGCTATACCCTCAATTATTCTCACTAGTTTCGTCTCTCGTCTTGAAAGTTTAAATGCCTCTCTTCTCCCCTCTTCTCCTCTCCTCCCCCTACCCTTTCCTCTTCTCTCCGTCCTTCCTCACCTAGTTCTACCTGCCCTCCCCGACCTCTTACCCCTCTCCCTGACCCTCTTACCCCTCCCCGACCCCTTCCCCTCCTGTCCCCCCCTTCCTCCCCTACTCTGTCCTGCTTCCTTCTGGAGGAGAACTGAAGTCTTTATAATCTTCTCTTTATGGTGTTGGGCCTCCTCCACTTCTTCTTCCTCTCCTCCTCCTCCTTCCTCCTCCTCCCTCCTCTTCCTCCTCTTCCTCCTCCTCCTCTCTCTCCTCCTCCTCCTCTCTCCTCCTCCTTCCTCCTCCTCCTCCTCCTCCTCCTCCTCCTCCTCCTCCTCTTCCTCCTCCTCCTCCTTGTCTTAACTCACAGCTCACAACTACCTTCTGTTACTTTTTAATTGTGTTCTCACCCCACTTCCCTTCCTTCCCTTACCTCACCCTCTTCCTTCCCCTACCCCCTCCCTCTCTACCCCACCTCCCTTCCTCCTTACCTCCACCCACCTCCTTCCTCCCACCCCCCCCCTCCCTTACTCCCCTTACCCCACCTCCTTCCTCCCTGTTTTTTTTTTTTTTTTTTCCCTTGCTCTCTTCTCTCTCTCTCTCTCCCTCTCCCCTCTCTCTCTCTCTCCCCCCTCTCTTCCCTCCCTCTCTATCCCTCTATCTTCCTCCACTTCCTCTCTCTCTCTCTCTCTCTCTCTCTCTCTCTCTCTCTCTCTCTCTCTCTCTTTTTTTTTTTCTCTATCTCTCTCTCTCTCTCTCTCTCTCACAAGGAAGAATAAGTGCAAAGTTTCAGAAGAGTTAGAAAGTATTGATGAGAGAGAAGAGAGAGAGAGAGAGAGAGAGAGAGAGAGAGAAGTCTTATAGATATAAGTGGTTAGGTTGGGTTAGGTTAGGTTGGGTGGTGGTAGTGGTGTTGATGGGATGAGAAGACGATGGTGGGTTGGGTTTGGTTGGGTTTGGTTGGGGTGGGTTGGGTTGGGAGGTGGTGTGGTGGTAGGTGGTGAGGAGGAGATCAATAAGCCAGGGTCTTGTTCAGTCAGCCTCCTCTTCCTCCTCCTCCTCCTCCTCCATCCTTCCTCCTCCTTCATCTCCATCTCCTTAGTCTCTCCTCTTCCTTCTCCTCTCCCTCTCTCTTTCTTCATCTCCACCTCCTCATTCTCCTCCTATATCTTCCTAATCTCTTCCTCCTCCTCCAACATCTTCCTTTTTCTCTCCTCCCCTCTTCTCCTCCCTCTCCCCTCTTTCTCCTCCTCCTTTCCCTTTCCTTCTCCCTCTCCTCTTTCTTCTCCTCCTCCTCTTTCTTCTCCTCCTCCTCTTTCTTTTTCTTCTTATATCTTCAAATATCTTGGTCAATGCATGTTCTTTCCTTTCCCTTTCTTCTCCTCCTCTCCTTTGTTTCTGTGTATATTCTTCTCTCCTGTTTGTGTCTTTCTTCTCCTCCTCTTTCTTTTTTTATAATAAATATGTATGTGGTTATTGGTAAATATAGTGTTTTGTATGTTTGTAATTATATACAGTGTTTGTATTGTATGATAATTATATACAGTGTTTGTGGTGTGTATGGTAATTATAGCTAGTGTTTGTGATGTGTATGTAATTATATAGTGTTTGTGATGTGTATAGTAATATATACAGTGTTTGTGTTGTGTATGGTAATTATATACAGTGTTTGTGATGTGTATGGTAATTATATACAGTGTTTGTGATGTGTATGGTAATTATGTACAGTGTTTGTGTTGTGTATGGTAATTATATACAGGATTGGTTAGCCAGTGGAGTTGTCCGGTCTTCTCAGACTATTCCGTGACACTGGGTCATGCTGCTCGTTAACTCAGGGTGTGGTTGTTGTGTTGGCGACAGCTTCTACATCTTAAACACTGGGTCATGCAGCTCGTTAACTCAGGGTGTGGTTGTTGTGTTGGCGACAGCTTCTACACCTCACTGGGTCATGCAGCTCGTTAACTCAGGGTGTGGTTGTTGTGTTGGCGACAGCTTCTACATAAACACTGGGTCATGCAGCTCGTTAACTCAGGATGTGGTTGTTGTGTTGGCGACAGCTTCTACACCTAAACACTGGGTCATGCTGCTCGTTAACTCAGGGTGTGTGGTTGTTGTGTTGGCGACAGCTTCTACACCTTAAACACTGGGTCATGCGCTCGTTAACTCAGGGTGTGGTTGTTGTGTTGGCGACAGCTTCTACACCTTAAACACTGGGTCATGCAGCTCGTTAACTCAGGGTGTGGTTGTTGTGTTGGCGACAGCTTCTGCACAAACCACTGGTCATGCTGCTCGTTAACTCAGGGTGTGGTTGTTGTGTTGGCGACAGCTTCTACTTAAACACTGGGTCATGCAGCTCGTTAACTCAGGGTTGGTTGTTGTGTTGGCGACAGCTTCTACACCTTAAACACTGGGTCATGCAGCTCGTTAACTCAGGGTGTGGTTGTTGTGTTGGCGACAGCTTCTGCACCTTAAACACTGGGTGGTCTTGGCAGCTCCTTAACTCAGGGTTTGGTTGTTGTGTTATTTATTATTAATTATAGGTGTGTAGTGTTTGTGTTGTATGATAATTATAGTGTTTGTGTAGTGTATGTTAATTATGGGTGTGGTTTTTGTGAGTGTATGGTAATTATAGGTGTGGTGTTTGTGTAGTGTATAGTGGTAGATGTGGTGTTTGTGTAGTGTATGTTTATAGCTTTTAATTTGTTAATTATAGGTGTAGTGTTGTGTAGTCTATGCTAATTATAGGTGGGGTTTTTGTGTGTATGTAATTATAGATGTGGTGTTTGTGTTGTGTATGATAATTATAGTGTTTGTGTTGTGTATGGTAATTATAGGTGTGTTTGTGTAGTGTATGGTAATTTGTGGTGTTTGTGTAGTGTATGATAATTATAGTGTTTGTGTTGTGTATGGTAATTATAGGTGTGGTGTTTGTGTAGTGTATGGTAATTATAGGTGTGGTGTTTGTGGTGTGTGATATAATTATAGTGTTTGTGTAGTGTATGGTAATTATAGTGTTTGTGTTTGTGTATGGTAATTATAGTGTTTGTGTAGTGTATGGTAATTATAGGTGTGGTGTTTGTGTGTTAACAGAGGTGTGGCGTGGCGGCGGGATGCGGTTCAACAAGTGTGAGTTAGCCTCATTGGCTGCCCATCCATCCCACCAGTTCGACAAGGAAGGCGTCCTACTGCTGAGGGAGCGTCACGAGGGGTTCTTTAGGCGTTCTGAAGGTATGGTGCCCTTCCTTCCTTCCTTCCTTCCTTCCTTCCTTCCTTGACCTCCAACACCTCCTCAACCTACACCCTCCTCCCTCTCTACACCCCTACACCCTGAATAGTCCACCCCCCCTAGTTCAGGTCTCAGGCGAGATGTATTCTGCCTCAGAGAATAACAAAAATATGCATCAGTTTTATTATAATTGAGTCGGTAAATATATTCAAAACTCCTGTAATGGTTTGTGTTTGGACATAATTGTGGCCTGGCCCTAGTGGAGTTAGCCTTGTTAGAGTGGCCATTAATATTCAGCCATTGGTGCCAGGTTCCTATAATTTTATTTTTATTTTTTTTTTTTTAGAAACTCGCTCTTCTACGCCATCCTCCTCCTCCTCTCCTCCCCTCCTCTCTTTCTCCCTTTTCCTTCTCGTCTCCTTTTCCTTCTGTCTCTCCTTTCCTTCTGCCCTATTACCCTCTCGTCTCCCTCCTTCTCCCTTCTTCTCTCCCCTCCTTCCCTCCCCCTCCTCCCCCCCCCCACCCCCCCTCTTCTCCCCCCTCACCCCTTCACCCCCTCTTTGTTTATAAATATTCTCTCAACATTAAATAATTTGGATTGGAAAAGAAAAGTATTAATAGTTTCATCTCACATTAGCCAGTTTGTGTAGTTTACTGTATATGTTAGTTGAAGTATTTTTTAATGTGTGTTTTATATTTTGGCGTTGTGGTGACGATTGTGTGTAGGTGTTGGTTTAATGTGGGCTCTCTCTCTCTCTCTCTCTCTCTCTCTCTCTCTCTCTCTCTCTCTCTCTCTCTCTCTCTCTTCTCTGTAAAGTAAGTTAATTCTATTGTTTTTTGTTTCTATTTTTTTTTTTTTTCACCTTTTGTTTTGTTTTTCTCTCACTTAAAGTTGTTGGACTGAGCGTTAGGTTAGGGTCGTGTTTTGCTATTGTGGTAAACCAACATTGTGACCTTTGATCTGTGTCCTAACCTAACCTAACCTAACCTACCCTAACCTAACCAACATTGTGACCTTTGATCGTGACCTAACCTAATCCAATATTGTGACCTTTGATCTGTGTAACCTAACCTAACCTAACCTAACCTAACCAACATTGTAACCTTTGATCTGTGGCCTAACCTAACCTAGCTTAAGCTTACCTACCTAAGCCTAGCTAGCCTAGCCTAGCCTAAACCAGCCAACAAACTGCTTCAAACCTAAACCTGCCTAAGCACAGCACAACCTGCCTAGCCTAGCCTAGCTAGCCTGGCCTGGCCTGGCCAACTGCTTCAAGCTGCCTGGCCTGGCCTAGCCTGGCTTCAGCCTGGCCTGGCCTGGCCTGGCCTGGCCTGGCCTGGCCTAGCTGGCCTGCCTGCCTAGCCTAGCCTGGCCTGGCCTAGCCTGGCCTGGCCTGGCCTGGCCTGGCCTGGCCTGGCCTGGCCTGGCCGGCTGGCTGGCTGCCTAGCCTGGCCTGCACAACCTGGCCTAGCCTGGCCTGGCCTGGCCTGGCCTGGCCTGGCCTGCCTGGCCTGGCCTGCCTGGCCTGGCCTGGCCTGCCTGGCCTGGCCTGGCCTGCCTGGCCTGACCTGCCCTGCCTGCCTGGCCTGGCCTGGCCTGGCCCCGCAGCCTGCCTGCCCCTGGCCTGGCCTGCCCTGCCTGGCCTGGCCTGGCCCTGGCCTGCCTGGCCTGCCCTGCCTGGCCTGGCCTGCCCTGCCTGGCCTGCCTGGCCTGCCCTGCGCCTGGCCTGCCTGCCTGGCCTGCCTGGCCTGGCCTGGCCTGGCCTGGCCTGGCCTGGCCTGGCCTGCCTGGCCTGGCCTGCCTGCCTGGCCTGCCTGGCCTGGCCTGGCCTGGCCTGGCCTGCCTGGCCTGCCCACCGCCTAGCCTGCCCTGCCTGGCCTGGCCTGGCACAGCCTGCCTAGCCTGCCCTGCCTGAGCTGGCCTGCCCTGCAGCCTGCCTGCCTGCCCTGCCTAGCCTGGCCTGCCTGCCTGTACTGGCCTGGCCTAGCCTGGCCTGGCCTGGCCCCACAGCCTGCCCTGCCTAGCCTGGCCTGCCCTGCCTGGCCTGCACCTGGCCTGCCTGCTCAGCCTGCCTGGCCTGCCTGCCTGGCCTGGCCTGCCCTGCCTGGCCTGCCTGGCCTAGCCTGGCCTGGCCTGGCCTGGCCTGGCCTAAGCCTGCCTGCCTAGCCTGGCCTGCCTAGCCTGCCCTGCCTAACTAGCCTGCCCTGCCTAGCCTGCCCCTAGCCTAGCCTGCCTGGCCTAGCCTGGCCTGGCCTAACCTACCCTGGCAACCTAACCTAACCTAACCTAACCTAACCTAACCTTGTGTCAGTGGGATTAGTTCGTGTAAACAGACCCCCAAAAGAAGTATCTGTACTGTTTGTGATCGATAAATTCCACAATGAACACTGTGACTCCTGTTGTCTCGGAAGGGTTGTCAGAATGCTTCATCCACTGTGTCATATTGTTTAACGTGATTTGGTTGAAGATAGTTTTGTTTTAGTGACTGTATCATGTTGGTGATAAACTAACACTGTGTTATATCATGTTGGTGATAAACTAACACTGTGTTATATCATGTTGGTGATAAACTAACACTGTGTTATATCATGTTGGTGATAAACTAACACTGTGTTATATCATGTTGGTGATAAACTAACACCGTGTTATATCATGTTGGTGATAAACTAACACCGTGTTATATCATGTTGGTGATAAACTAACACCGTGTTATATCATGTTGGTGATAAACTAACACCGTGTTATATCATGTTGGTGATAAACTAACACCGTGTTATATCATGTTGGTGATAAACTAACACTGTGTTATATCATGTTTGTGTTCCATCAAAATAGTTACATGAATTTTGTTGTATGTAATTATCACGTTCATATTACATTAGTATGACGTTCCAGGTTGAGTTACGTGTAATTAGCAAATGTCACTTGGTGGGGGAGGGGTGAGGGATGTCACTTGGTGGGGAGGGGTGAGGATGTCACCTGGTAGGGGGAAGGGGGGTGAGGGAGGGGAGGCAAATCTTATCTCTGGTTGTGTCTGGGAGGACCTTGAGTTGAGACAGTTGATGTGAGTTGTTGGTTGGTTGCAAGTTAAGTGAGTCAGTCAGTCAGTCAGTCAGCCAGTCAGTCAGTCAGTCAGATAGTCAGTCAACCAGTCAGTCAGTCAGTCAGTCAGTCAGATAGTCAGTCAACCAGTCAGTCAGTCAGTCAGTACTTTGTGAGTGTATTGTTGGCAGCGTTAGTCAGTTCTCGTATCTTCCATGTATACATATAACTAACTATACATCTATACAAGTATATACCTACTTACCATTTTATATAACCATGTATACCCTCAAAAATATGTATTAAATTTTGTTATCTTTTCCGGTTAACATTTGTTGATCTGTTTGTTTAAATCCGTTCATTTTTTTTTTAATTTACCTTTAATGACAAAGTTGATATTAATCACCTGTGGAATTAACTGTCCAAAGACTAATTACATTTAATATACAAAGGAATACAAAATGTGGTTAGATTAAGTGAGGTTAGGTGGGGTTGGTTGAGGTGGTGGGGCTAGGTGAGGCTAGGGAGGTGAGGGAGGGGCTAGGTGGGGTTGGGATAGGTGGTGGGGCTAGGTGGGGTTAGGTTAGGTGAGTGGGGCTAGGTGGGGGTTGGAGTTTGGGTTAGGTGGGGTGGGTTGGGTGGTGGGGGCTAGGTGGGGTTAGGTGAGGGTGGGGTTAGGTTAGGTGAGGATTGGGTTGGTGAGGTGGGGCTAGGTGAGGTGAGGGATTGGGTTAGGTTAGGTGGCTAGGGTTAGGTGAGGTGGGGGTTAGGTGAGGCGAGGCATTGGGTTGGTGAGGTTAGGTTATCAGAATACAGTCATTGATACATACATCATTAGTTTGGTGGCTAGGAATGGGATAGTGTGGATAGTGACAGTCCAAGGGGTATCCAAACTCTTTCTCAGAAGGTGTTGGTGAGTCATAGTGAGGCAGACTGCTGGGGGGTCGTGCCTCTGGGAGTACTAATGTGGTGTTGTGTTAAGTAACTTGTGGTGTATTTGTCAGCCCTGGGTACCTCACGTGTGTGTGTGTGTGTGTGTGTGTGTGTGTGTGTGTGTGTGTGTGTGTGTGTGTGTGTGTGTGTGTGTGTGTTTTGTGTGTGTGTGTGTGTGTGTGTGTTACAGTGTTGTCAGTTGTGGAGGTTTTACGGGCCAGTTTCCTACCATTATTCCAGGTGAGTCACGCCCTCCCCTTCCCTCCGTTTCCCCTCACCTCCCCTCACCCCTTCCCCTCACCCTTCCCCTCCCCTTTCTCTCTTTATCTATTTTGTTTCTTTGGATTTCAAGTCGCGGCCATGGTGCTGGGTGATGGTGGTGAGTGTTGATGGTGATAGTGGTGGTAATGGTGGTGGTAGTGAGTGTTAATGGTGATAGTGGTGGTAAATGGTGGTGGTGGTAGATGGTGGTGGTGATAGTGGTGGTAAATGGTGGTGGTAGTGAGTGTTAATGGTGATAGTGGTGGTAAATGGTGGTGGTGGTGAGTGTTGATGGTGATAGTGGTGGTAAATGGTGGTGGTAGTGAGTGTTGATGGTGATAGTGGTGGTAAATGGTGGTGGTAGTGAGTGTTGATGGTGATAGTGGTGGCAAATGGTGGTGGTAGTGGTGTTGATGGTGATAGTGGTGGTAAATGGTGGTGGTAGTAGTGTTGATGGTGATAGTGGTGGTAAATGGTGGTGGTAGTGAGTGGTGGTGATAATATCGTCAACAACGGAGTCTAGCCGTGTCTCACTATTCGTCATCACTAATAATTTCCTGTTTCACTTCCCTCCTCACCTCTACACGCCACAGCACACACACACACACACACACACACGCACACACA